ATGACAGCTCCATTGCAGAGATGGAATCTGTGAGAACTGCATTAGTGGCTCCCTCAGCCCCATAGATTATAAACTCCTTGAGCCAGGGACCATGTTTATAACTTGTTCTGAAAAGTGTTTGGAACACAGTTGGTGCCACATAAATGATATGATTGAGGTTTTAATGTCACAAAAGTTGGGGTTCCCTTAGCAATCTTTAAGTCTGCCCTCATGTATTTTGATAGACTGTTTCCAGTAAAGACGAGGGGAAATGTCCTCCATTGAATACTCAAAAAATAAAGAAAAATCTGAAAGCTTTTGGCATATTTAAACTTGCAGCCTTATTCCTTTTTAATTTTCCTTGGATAAACAATTAAATGTTTAACAAAATTAACATTTAAAGTGTCATAATTTGGCATCAGAGTTAACACTACATTAAAAAAAAGGGGCACTTCTCAATCCTTTTATGGCCTGATCCTGTAAGTGCTTCACCCAGGGAATTCAGTGGGAGATCTGTGCACATACAGCTTGCAGGATGGAGTCTCCAGGGCAGTTATTTCAATGGATGTGGCTCTTAGCAACACAGGTGCAAGTCTAGATCTATATTGTGAAGGTTATCTTCAAAATAGCTGAAATTCTAGGGCCAGAGCCTCTGCTGGCTCAAGTCAGCACAGCTCTAAGCAGTTATACTAATTCACATCAGCTGAGGAACTGGCCCCAAGTTTTTAAAATGAAAGTTTAGTATCTTCCCATAGAAGATGGATATTCCTATCTCTCCAGAATCTAAATTCCTGGATTTTATACAATTTCCATGTCCAGGATTTCTATTGTCCCTGAATATAAGCAACTGCAACAAGGGTTTTGAATGGCACTGCCATTCTTATCTATTATGTTCCTTCTATGATGCTATTAGAAGTTTTATTATAAATAGGACTTACAGCTTTTAGTATGAAAAATAAATGCCCAAAAGACAGATGCTAGTTTTCTGGCAGTGAATTACAGCACCAAAGAGAATGAGTGAGAGAATGAAACTCTATGTCTTGTGTTTTGTTCCCCAGCTTTGGGGGACATCTAGGTGCATTCCCTATTTGCAGAGATTTGTGAAGACATGCGAAGTTTAATTTATCAGCATCCAAATCTTTAAAGTGTGACTAACACCTTTAGGAAAGCTATTGTGAACTGCTTCAAGAATATGAAGTTTTATATGTAGTTAATTTCAGTATTATTAATGAAAATGATCTTTTAAAAACATAACATGTATATGCTATCATTATGCATCTGTTCCCATATAGAACTAGATTAAAGTTCACATTGCATACACCTTCTATCCCATATTCCACCTGAGAATAGTTTAAGCTCTGATCTGTGCTCATTTATATGCTGTCATTCGGGCTTTTCCTTAGTAAGTCATCAGTGGATGGTAAGTGCAGTGCAGAATTTGGCCCCATCACTTCAATTTCTACAGTGCGTTCTCATGCAAACACATCTCAAAATGTTTTGCAAATGATGCATAATTCAGTACAGCCTTGCGACTCATGCTAAGTAAGGGAATAGAAAAGAACCTTTCATTCTGATTTCAGATTGAAGTATCCTGATACTTTAGGGTGTGAAAGTCTAAAGAGGAGATGCTAATAGCCATCCAGTGTAGCATATCTACATAGTGATGATCTCTGTGAAGATAGAAGTAGATTTATAAATCAGAAAGATATAAATAAATAAATGGAGATATCCTATCTCCTAGAACTGGAAGGGACTTTGAAAGGTCATTGAGTCCAGCCCCCTGCCTTCACTAACAGGACCAAGTACTGATTTTGCCCCAGGTCCCTAAGTAGCCCCTAGGCTGAGATGACCACCTTAAAGCTAGAGCTGGTTAAAAAATCATTAAGATGGAAAATTTCCAAATAGAAAATGTAGTTTCCACAAAATTGAAATTTTTGAAGGTAAAATTTTGATTTTTGCCAAAAAATTATGATTTTTCCATTGGCAACATTAAAATGAACTATTACATTTTAGATAATTTAATTTAGAATCAGTTCAACAGAACATTAAAAACTGTATTTTCCTATCATGGTGGTATATTGCCCTATGGAAGCTGTAGTTCTGTGATTTCATATGGACCAAACAGTGGGTTGCATCACGGGAGTCACATGAATCAGTGCATTATGGGCGACGTAGTCCAGCCAGGGAGCCTGGTTGATAGGGTAAAATGGGTGTATCAGGCTTCTGAATTACAACTCACAATGCACCACCATAAGAAAATGCAATTTAATGTAGAAATTACTCAACAAGGCATTTTGGGTCATGTCAGCAAATCAAAACTGAACATTTGGATTTCAGGAGTGTTGGAATGTTTAATTTTGATTGAAAATGTTAAAAGTTTTGTTTAGATATTTCCAAACAAACTTTTTGGACTTTCCATTCTGTAGAAAATTTTGAAATGTAAATGTTTTATCCTATTTTGGGATGAAAACAAAGGTTAAAATTTTCCCACAGGATGGAAATTTTGAATCTCACACAGCTCTGCCTAAAGGTAATGTGGAAGTTTAGGTTGATTTAAATATATAAGTTTAGATATTAGGAAAAACTTTTTCACTAGGAGAGTGTTGAAGCACTGGAATGGGTTACCTATGAAGGTGGTGGAATGTCCTTCCTTAGAGGTTTTTAAGGTTAGGCTTGACAAAGCCCTGGCTGGGATGACCCTTCGTTGGGGATTGGTCCTGCTTTGAGCAGAGGTTTGGACTAGATTACCCCCTGAGGTCCCTTCCAACCCTGATATTCTATGATTCTATGACGTTGAATCCGTATGTTGATATTAAGCTATAAAAGTTGTATCCCTGCATTAGTTCTAAATGCCTTTTGTAACTGATCTGCCAGGTATCAGTGGTCAAGTGGGGTGTTGGGGGCAGCACTCCTCCACTTGTCTGCTCTAGTCCATCAAAGCCTGCACCACCAGGTGCTGGTCTGACTGGTGGCTAACCAGTCTGGTTTCACAAAGTCAGCTCCTCCTCAGCTATTGCTCAGTCTGGTCTTCCAAAGTCTCCTTCTTCAGCACCAGCAATCTAGTCCTACAAGCCAGTTTTAACTCTACCATGAGATAAGTCTACAAACTCATGTGCTCTATACAGGACTTAGAACCTCTATATGGGAAATCCACAGTAAAGCAGGACCCCAGACAGAACCTCAGTCTCTTGGACATGATCCCCAGGCCCCTTTGTTGTTTGGAGTCCTTACCTACTTAGGTTGCACTACCCGTCAGCTCAGGGTGACCAATTTCCTACAGGGCATATCTTATACAATTGATATACCCCTTCACAAATACTGTTACATCAAGAAGCTATTATCAGTCAGAAAATCAGAACAAACAATTGCCAAATAACGCAACACTACACACTATATAGCTACAGGGAAGCAAAATTATAATTATAATTTATGTAAATGAATCCTACCAGCTGCCAAGCTTTCCCCTTTCTCCTACAGAGAGAAGCAGACAGTTCGGTTCTTTTAAACTTTCTAGCTCCTCTAACTTTTACTGCAGTCAAGGGTCATTCATTGCCTCAAAGGAGTGAGAGAAATAGCTCCTTCGAGAAGGGACTGTTAATTCATTGTAATAGATCCAGAAAGCCCATCAGAACTGCAAAGGTGTGAATGAAAGCCTGATCATCCAGGCAAATGGACCGTGTTAGGGGACTGTGTTAAAAAAACCAATATTCCCCTAATTATGTTCTAATATGTTTAGGACTTGGCTGTGTGGAAAGGACCAACCATTCTTACATGCTATGGAACCATGTTACCACCTAGTGTAGATTGATCCTTTTCAGCAACGTTACTTCGATAATGATAAATTATGTTTTGACAATCTTTTTCTTAAAAAAAATCAGCATCCTTTGGTCATGGGCATTGATAAATGAAGTTGTTACTATTAATGTTTTATTATAGTTAACTATTTCATTGAAAGTTTCTACACATCCAAAATTTAAGATGAGTTAGGTCAGATAGCAGAGAACCAGCAAAAGGACATTTACATTTGGACTGACTTTCTTATAAATTAGTGTCCCATTACTATGTTAACATTAAAAGCCATATTGATGGAACAAGTGTCATGAAATTGTCTTTAAAAAAAACCAAACATTTGAGAGGCAGTTTTGTAAGGTATTCTGTCCTTCAAAAACTCCCACAGGTTTTTTTATTCAGGAACATAAACCCAACCTTTTCACATCAGTCTTAAGTAGTTTGAACACTAGTCTTCCTTATACCATCCACTTGAGAAGTACTGTGTAAGAGGAGCCATATCTGTGGAAGATTTGTGTCCCATGTATTCTTGGTGGACTACAAATTTAGGCCTTATTCCTGCAAGCTGAAAACTTACACATGCACAAAACCCTGCTGACAGTAATGGCACTCCACAAAGGTTCAGGGGTCTACAGGATTAGTGCCATAGATTGCACAGGGATCTATTCTAAAACCCAGCTAGGCCTTTTCATTGATAAACTTGCACAAAAGAACTCTACTCTAGGGACTTCATTCTGTCTTTCCGAAGAGCAAGAGTGCAAACTTCAATAATTCCAGCAAATCTGAGGAAGGCCCCGTCTCAAACGCAAACCATCAAGTTTATCAATGGAGGTTAATCTCAGTTGCTGCCTAGTAATGTTCTTCCGTGGTTCAGCCTGAAGGCTGAGCCATGTTATAACTGGGTTAAAAGATACATAGTACCACTAGGCAGAGAATTCAATGCTCTCTCAGGGTCAGATGAGATAGGGATTTGAATGAAAGTGAACTGGCTGCAATGACATCATCCTAAAATGAGAAACTGAAAAGCCTGAGCATTTTCTCTTGGCTGATCCTATTTCCCCCTCATGTCCCTACTATGGATTCTTTGTACCATTTAAAAAATATTATATTCCTTCCTTTGATTTAATTTGGACCATGGTGGGCCAAACAATTCAAGGACTGTCTTTTTGGAGCCTCGCTAGAAAGGGCCACTCTTCCTACACTTCCTGTAGTCTTTTCAGCATCATACTCACAACTGCAGGGTCCATCGTCCACCAACAACCATGGCACCAATAAAAATCCTGAGATTATGGAGGCAGGTCTGAGGTTAGGCAGGTTTCTCTGCAATGGAACCTAGAAAAAATGAAAACCAGGCTTGTCAGTCTGGTGAAGAATTTAAAAGAAAGGGCAGGATCTATCTATCCCATTTGTCTGGCCAACTTTCACCAGCATGGCACACAACTGGTGTTGTGTCCAACCAAATTCATCAACTTCCCACCAGAAGTGGTTGCCCATGTTGCTTTTTGCTATCTAGAGCTGCCCAGAAAATTATGGTTCTTTTTCTCAAAATAAAGCCTCACAATAGTCATCTACATTTTTGTTAGCCCTAGACATGACTATTGAAGTGCTTAGGGACACATCTGAAGTTCACCTGGGAGTTCCAGCCAGGGCAGAATGCAGCTACCCGTTTCCAGAGTGATGTGGGTTGGCATGAACCCATAACCTTTGTGCTTAACTTTCTGCACTGGCTTCCTGTTGCTTCCAGATACAATTCAAGGGGTTGGTGTTGATCATTAAAGTCCTGAGTGGTCCTATGACATAGTTTTCCAGAGACACCATCTCTCACTGCATACCTCATCATGGCAGTTAAGAGAAAGAGCCTCCCTGTAGATATCAAAATGTCAGTTTAAACACTGAGCCAGATCCTCGGTTTGCAGCCAACTTCACTTTGTGTTGCTTACGCAGTGCAAAGCAAACTTGCCTGAGACTGCTACAGTAGAACTCCCTCTGAGTAGGGGAAATCTCCATTGGGGTAGCTGCCTCCTATACCAGCTGCCCCTGTCCCAGCTTGAGGAAGCAGAGGGGGCAGGCTGAGGGCATACTGAAAAGAAGGAGGGGGCACAGTGGAGGGGAAGCTTCCCTACACCTGATCTGCCACTTGCCAGAGGCAGAAGTTATCAATAGGCCCCCTGCTACTCTAACTTCCTCCAGGGCCAGGCAGTTGAAGATCAGGGAGCTGCAACTGGCTCTCTATGGCCACCACTCATCCCTACATCTGAGGGCATTCAATGCAGCTTGAGGACCTCCATGGTTGGCCGGAGGGCTTTCTTAGCTGAGGAATTCACTGTAGAGACGATGCAAAACACATTGATTTAGTTTAGCACTTGATTAACTGTTAGTTTTTCAGTTCTTATTCTGTGTTTTAATCTCTGATTAAAGCACCACTCAGTAACAATGAGAGGCAAGATAGAAATTAGTAAAATTATATACATGTGTGTGAACCCATATAGCTATAATTTTCTACATCCTGTTTCTGAGTGTTACAAACAAAAATATACACACTGTCCAGGATGGCAATTTTGTATTCTATTCCATTATTTCCTTCACAAATGTGTTCTGAAACCACTGAAGAATAATAGTTTTAATGTATCTTAGTAAATTTCATCTGGTTAAACTTGGATTACTTACTAAATATCCCATTGCTTGGGACATTTAGTAAGCCAGGACAAGATCCCACAAATTGCACGCTGGGGAAGAATGCAGGGGAGATAAACTAAGTGTCTTAACAGGTCGTTTCCACCACTAACCTCTGTGATTCTGTAAATGAGCAATGTTATTCACATTATATTTCACACAGAGAAACAAAACACATATTTGAGCGTAATTCCTGCATTGGGTTACAGAACCACCAGGGAACTCACCAGGGAGTGTCACAAATCCCAGTGGAGGTCCCTGAGTGCTGGGTTTTGTGTGTGGATTTCTGATTTAGCTGAAAGATGTGTAAAACCTTTAGCCAGACAGCTCTCTATTGGCTACACATCTGTGGAGGCTCAAGAGCACTGTATATTTCAGCAAGGGTCTGGAATAAATTATGCTTGATAAATTGGCTCCTGATATGCTTGTTTCAGAGAGCAGAATATGAAGAACTCGTGTGCTGTGGGAGCATGTGGCCAAACTACACTGTTTTGGTGCCATCACAACTGTAGAAGATATGTGGATGCAGGAATATGCAATTATTGGAGGATGTTGACATATTGGCAGATCAGCACTGTAGCTTGGAGACTGCTGTCATTTTTCTTTGAGATCTTTAGTGGTTTTGAGGACAGAGTTAGCCATGAAATATGTACCCAGTGACCCACTCCCCCAACTCATATGCATAAACAAGATACTAGGCTGGAACACTGGGAGATCATACTGAGGTCAGTGTGTCATGTATGCTGCATATTTAAATATTTGTACAATTATCTGTTTGTACCTTTACCCTCATATTCTCATCCAAAAACCTGACTCACCCTCATTTGCTAAAGAACACTATTCCCTATTCATATTATACCATACTTCTGACCTCATTCTTTTTTTAAAAACATAGGAAGTTAAATGTTATGTAGGTTACCTTTAATGTGAGGTAAATGGCTCTCTTGGTCAAGTTTTGCTCTGTAGCTCTTTAATAGATACCCAGTCCCACATTTGGATGTACAAGTCACCAGTTAGTCATAGAAAATGAGCACTTGCATGCCTAAGTGCTGATTTGAGCTCCAAATGCATAAGAGCTCAATGTCCTTGTAACAAGGTTCTCTTCTTACTACTGGGACACCTCCTTGTGTCTGCATCTGGAGAATAGCTCTGCTTGGTCTGATGCCCCCTTCAGTTTCTCATTCACGTTGTGACCCTTCTCACACTTCAAGAGTTACAGGGCTTCCTCTTTGTGGCCTGGCCTCCAGTCAGGTCTCTATACATTTTTCCACTTCTGGAGTATTAAAGTTTTACTGGATTGGTTGGACAGGTATCATTCCTGGCACTCCTCCATCTCAAAACTATGCCATTTCCCCAGTGGCTGGAAGGAAAACCTGGCCCTGCCCACTACTCCAATTTCCAGCCCAGGAACCCTCAAATTGGCAGCCAAGGTTTTCACCATTCCAAACCTTTCTGTCATTTCACTGAGCCTTTTCCTACTCCACCTCTATCAGGCTTCTGCTCGACCACCCTTCTAGGTACACCCTTCCTTCTGGGACAGGATCCCAGGGCTTCCACTCTCCTCCTGCTTTTCCTCATTTCCTTTTCTAAGCCCAGAGAGTGACTGCAAGCTTCCACACTGGTGCCCTCACTTCCTGGCCATATACCAGCCCCACCTGCTCCTGCCCAGCTGGGCACCATCCTTAATCAGTGCCTGCTCCTCAAGCCTAACTCTCCCTCAGGCATGACCTATCGGGTTACTTAATCTCTTCTGAGCCACATTAACCCTTTATGGGCTAGTGTGGGGTGAGCTCCCCATCATAGTCCTGTTCAGGCATCCCTATTTGAAGACTGGATTCTGTAGAAAGGGCAGAGTGAATCCAGAATTATGAACCCTTGTCACCGGGTTTCCCAAGTCTGGCTTTGAGCCTTGCCTCTGCCTCAGTTTTCCTTCCTTCACCAACTAAGATGACATCACACTGCAGGTGTTTTCTCAGTAACTCTTCCCTTTTGGGACTTTGGTTTATTAACAAATTGCAAAACAACCCAAAATTTTCCATCCCACCTTCTTAACTGGCTTGCAATCCCTATTACAGGGTCATGTGCCTATCCCTGCTAAAGCTTCATCCAGCAGGCTTGTTTCTCCACTCCATCTACATGGCTCCAGCTCCAGCTGGCTCTTGCAATCCCCAGGCCTTTGCCGTGGTAGCACAAAACAGTCTTTATAGCACAAGCTTATACACCCCTCCTGCTCCTTTGAGCCTCTCTCTGAACTCAGGTTGCCTCTAGTCTCTCCCAGCAGGCCTGGTTCTAAGGCACATACTCTCATCATTTGACCCCCTCCCCCTGACTCATTCACCTAACCTGGCAAGATGCACTACACCTGCCACAGGTGACCCTGAGCCCCAATCCTCTGACAGAGCCAGTTTACTTTATAACAAATCCACTCAAACTTTGAGTGTTTGAAAATTCTAAAAAGAACCTAAGATCGGGGCACTGGAACAGTTTTTATAGTGAGGGGGCTGAAAGCCATTGAACAAAGCTGTAAACTCTGTATCTGATGGCAACCACTTCAAGCCAGGGGGTGCTGCTGCACCCCCAGCACCCCTAGTTCCAGCACCCCTGCCTAAGGATAATAAAGTTTGTTTCTCGTATTCCCATTCTAATCTAATATCTGTCACCCCACATGGACACTTCATTTTGTGCTGTTTCCTAGTTTACACAAATTAGACACAATGATCCAGATTCTCAAAACAATGAGGATCTGGATCTAGGTGCCTAAATACTTTTGAGGATCTGGGCTAATATATTGCAGAAGGAAGGTGGGCTGAATTCCCTCTCTGGTGTAACTCCATTAACTTAATGGAGTTATACCAGGGAGAAACTTGATCCAAAGTCTTCAAAAGAGCCAGCAGGTTTTACAAAAATTGCCGTACCTCATGGTGCAATTTACTCTGAGACCCTGAACTGCATCTTCAAATAAATATGTTTTCTTCATTTACAGTCAGCTTTACTAGGTGTCATGCTGTTTGGAGTGGTTCATGACCGTGAGTGCCTACCTCAGAACAGACTGTCAATAATAGGGCAGACACCCCAAACTAATTATATGTTCTATAATTAGATTTCACCAACCCAGTCACAAATGTGAACTCCTGGATCACGATAACAGCCTCACTCTGGAGTCACAGACAGTCCCCTTAGACTCTCCCATCTATCTTACCTCCCAGGCAAGCTGGACTTCGTGATAAATGGTCACTTACACCAAACAATCACAAAATATTCAGATTGCTTCTAGTCCCAAGCGACCAGTCACTTACCCCAGATCAATTGGTACCCCAGATCCTACATCAAAGACAACACCCATAGCCAATGCTATAATAAACCATCTAAAGGTTTATTAACTGGAAAAAATAAATGAGAGTTATTTACAGGTTAAAGCAAGCAAACATATACCTCCGAATGAGTTGCTATCGATGATTCCGAAAGATGACAGTAATGTGGTAATCTGTCAAATCAAGATGTCTTTCAAGGCAGACCAGAGGGTAACCTCTAGGGATCTCTGCCTCAGTTTAGAGTCTCTGGCCCTGTGAGAATTCAAACAGCAGAGAGAAGGAAAATTTTCCTGTGTCTTTGTTTTATTTCCTTCCATAGGATGAGCTTCCTGACATGTAGCATTTCCAAGGTGTGATACGGCCAGTCACCAATTCTTGATATAGCGATGTTCCTTGATGGCCCATCTGATTTTGATAGTCCTTCTGGATGGGTGGGGGGAAAACACTCTTTCCATCTAATGTCACAAGTTTAGAGCAAACATTTTCAAAGTTATAAAGCAAAACGTATATATTTCCATATAGCATGGAATACAGATATTACAAATGAGATTGATGCACACAGCAACTTACAAACATTATATAGAGTCTAAACACCAAATACATTCTCATAAGACTAATACCTATTTTGAGCAACACTAAAACATAAGTGAACTGATCTGTTCTCCAAACATGAGTTTGTCAGTTCCTGGCTAATGTCTGCAGCCTTGGCAAGAGCTGGCACCTGGCCTGCCAATGTTACATTAGATTTTATGATTTTTGAAAGGAAAGAAGGCTTCTTCATGAACTAGAAACATGCTGATGACAGATGTTTATGATACTACTCAATAGTTTAAAAATACAGTAAGAGAAAGAGTTAATCCAGGACAATAAAACAGTACTTCCCCCTTCCAGGAAAAATACCAACCCTTAGCTAACTCCAACAACAACATATTTATGGAGGGAAGACAACACCCTAGGTATACTCTAAAGAATAAAGATATTTTGATCTACAAGAATTCTTAATTGCCTTTACTATCAGCAGTACAATGCAGATGTGGATATTAGAAGAAGCCATTTAAAAAGTCAAAAACACTATGTCATAAATATACAGCTAAGGGTAGCATAAAATCCCTCCTTACCTGTAAAGGGTTAAGAAGCTCAGATAACCTGGTTGGCACCTGACCAGAAGGACCAATGGGGAAAGAAGCTAATTTCAAATCAGGGTGGTGGTGGGAGGCTTTGTTTTGTGCTCTGTGTGTGTTCTCCCCAGAGACAAAGGAAGAGACCAAGCAAGTAATCCAGCTCCCACTTACATGATACATCTAATATTACAGAAATAGTAAGTAATAGCAAGGAAATGTGTTAGAGTATCTTTTGTTTTAGCCTGTGAATTTTCCCTGTGCTAAGAGGAAGGTTTATCCCTGTTTTTCTAACTTCAAAGTTTTGTCTGGAGGGGAAATCCTCTTTGAATCTTTTTGTTACCCTATAAAGTTATCTTCCATCCTGATTTTACAGAGGTGATTCTTTTATCTTATTTTTAAATAAATTCTTCTTTTAAGAACTTGATTGATTTTTCATTATTCTTAAGATCCAAGGGTTTGGGTCTGTGTTCACCTGTGCCAATTGGTGAGAATATTATTCTCAAGCCTTCCCCAGGAAAGGGGGTGTGGGGCTTGGGGGAATATTTTGGGGGAATAAGACTCCAAGTGCTCCTTTCCCTGATTCTAAATCACTTAGTGGTGGCAGCATACTGTTCAAGGACAAGGTGGAATTTGTGCCTTGGAAAAGTTTTTAACTTAAGCAGGTAAATAAGCTTACGGGGTCTTTCATGCGGGTCCCCACATCTATACCCCAGAGTTCAGAGTGGGAAAGGAACCTCGACACACTACATCTTATTTTGTCATCTGTTTCTAGCACTGAACCTACATTTGATTACTTTTCCTCAGTCATAAAAATACATTGGTCACCTGCATTCAACAGCAACACATCACAGCCAAACTAATCTGTGTGCTAGTCCTGTGATGCTTTTAAATTAGCTGAGATGTTAAAACGCAGCACCTGTTAGTCTCACTGGCATGTGCAGTGCATAGTGGGTGTTCTGATATCTTTATAAATATGACCTCCCTGCTTCAAAATAGTTGTAAAACAAATAACTCAAGGAAAAAAATTAGTTGCTATTAGATAAAAATGGTGGTTTGTTCTAAGTGCGGCATGCCACCTCTGAATGACATGCATTAAAGTAAGAGGATTTCCATCATCATATACTTATTATAGGAACATAGCAATTTCCATACTGGATCAAACAATCTAGTCTGTCTGACAATAACGAGTTCCAGATGCTTCAGAGGAAAGCATCAGAAGCCCGATAAAGGGCAATTATGGAATAACCTGCTCTAGGGTAAATGTCTTCCTAATCCCAGGCAGTTAGTGGTTGGTTTATGCCTTGATTCTTGAGGGTTTATATCCCTTTTAAATTTTTATCCTATCCCTTGTAACTGTATATACTGCTCCTTAATAGCATCAACGTTTTTTTTTAAATAATGTGATTTAAGAGAGAGTATTATAATTTTGCCTGATTCCATTTATAGTTTCATGTACAAATTGGATCAATATATTCTGGAAACACATGCTTGACACCAACTCTTCCAAAGCAGCTTGTTCCCTCCAATTATGGTCTCTACTGGTGTCATCTCAGAACTACTGTAATTGCAAAAATGTTTAACATCAACAGTGTCTTTGCACATAATATTTCAAAGTAGGTAGATGTGTTCAACATTTCATATAACTGTCTGGAGGAGGTTTAAGTGTTGGCAAGCAGACAGAGGCTAGCAGCCAAATTAATTCCTGGTGTAATACCATTAATTTCAGTATAGCTACACTAGGGATGAATTTGGCGATGGATTCCATTATTGTCCTTTTGTCAATGCAGAAGGAGTGCTTCAAATAACACATAATACTATTTGCAGCCTTCCTGGCTCTTTAAATTGTACTCAGATGTTTATCATGTTGTAATGGTTTTGTTCTTTATTGCTGGGGAATTAAAAAAGAGGATGTAACTCCATTGCTACTAAATAGGATTTGGTTTTGGAGCCAAAAGCTGTAAGTTCTATTCCTCATGGCACGCGGCTGCAGTTCCAGTTAGCTGACATCTGTGATGGCTGAGCATTTATGCAGCCATATATCACTACATACAGCCTCCCAAGTTCACATGGATCGGTACATCCAGTCTACCCATTGGTCTCCAACTATTCTAGTACTGTGTTTGGAAATACCCACATTTTGTCTGGTGGAAGTTCAAATGACAAAAAAAAATGAGGCCTGAATTTAAAGAATCATATCTATAGATTCTGAAAAGAAAAAACAACAACAAAAGTAGAGCGCTGCCTTCAGAGCTGCTATTTATGTCTGAACACAATATGAGTTGGAACAGAAGAAAAGTCTGCAGGTGCAGAGAATCTTTGGATTTAGGATGTTCCTGCAGATTTCCCCCCCTTTTTAAACTCACGTTTTAATTGATTTTTCTTATGAGAATACAAGTGTAAGCAGAGTCAGGATGAGTTCTACCCTGAAATCTGGTGGTGAATTGTGGCGAGTTGTGGAAAAGAACTTCAGGGGCTGGTCTTGTTTGCATAGGCACACCCACCCCACCTAGCATGAGCCCACAGCTGCCCAAATGGTCACTTTGGCTGCTGTGGGATCCCCAGTTTCCCTGTTATTGGGGCAGGAAGAATAAAGTGTTGTTACCCTGATTATGTGAATCAAGGCCAGTGGAACTGTTTTATGACAGAGGAACTCACCATCAACTAAGTAGCACTCGGTAGACAAGGGACATGGGTTCCATGTGAAACCCAGTGAATTGAGAGAGGCTGGGGATAGGTATTTGTACCTGATGATATAGGGCCTGAAATACCAATTTCATCTTCTCTCTCCACTGTTGAATAGTAGAGCTAATTTTGATTCCGTTAAGAATCTAGTTGCAGGCTGCTGTGCTGAATTCACTTTGGGCCAGTGGTACACCAGCACTGGGGCTCCCCTACTACGAACTAAAATTACTAAGAGCTGAGCTCACTGAGTGCTGTGTTAACTAGTGGGGGCACCTGATGATATATTGCAAGCAGCTGGCCGAGCGGAGCAGTTTGTGGGATGGTTGGAGCGGCCCACGGGACGGCAAGTGGAGTATAGCGGAGCTGAGTGGGGTAGTTTGCGGGACAGCTGGAGTGGCTCGTGGTGAAGGCTGCAGCAGAACCCCATGGAGAAGTGGGGCAGTCGGCCTCGGACCATATAAGGTGCCCCTTAACACCCTGTGTACCCCCTGTCCCCTCCATTTCCACCCAGGCTGGGGGGGTAAAACTCTGCAGATAAACTTTTGAACTCTGGGGCTGCACTGACCAGGGACAGAGAGTTTTGGGATGTTGGACTTTTGGGACTTTGGGGTGATCTTTTGGGTTGTTGGACTTAAGACCCTGAGGGGAAAAGGATACTGCCAAACTTACTTGGGGGTGGGTCTTTTTGCTCATGGTTTGAATGTTATGAATCCTGTTTGTGGTGTTTCCCTAACATAATGCCGCATTGTGTCCCTCCTTTATTAAAAGGATTTTGCTACACTCAGACTCCGTGCTTGCGAGAGGGGAAGTATTGCCTCTTAGAGGCGCCCAGGGGTGGTACGTAATTGTCACTGGGTGGGGGCTCGAGCCAGTTTTGCATTGCGTTCTTGAAACGGAACCCCTAGATGCTGAACCTGGCCCTTGTTGCTGCCAACTCAGACGGGCAGAAGGGTTACACAAGTGCAATGTAAATCCCATGGATTTTGCTGAATTCTACAGAATCTCAACTTTAAAGAAAAAAAGATGTTTCTGCTGCTTTGTAGGTTGGAAAGATTGTCTAAGAACTGTGATATGAAAAATACTGCGTTTTTTCAAAATGCTGGCAGGTGAAAAGAAAAGTATCTCTTCCTCTCATTCTGCTGAATGTGCTGGTAACTCAGTGGGGCAAATTCCTTGTTTGTATAACTCTAACTGAATTGTAATGGAATTATACAAGAGATGAACTTGATCCCTTATGACCCCTTGACCCCTTATGACTAATTGTGGCTACTAACAAGCCAACACCATTAACCATTTCACTGCTGATTGTTTTTTTCAGACCAGAAACATTCAAGGCCCGATTCATCAGTCTGTTCCAGCTGCAATGCATCTCTGCAGTGACACAAAGCAGCCATAAACCCAGAGTAATCATGCTAAACCAGCTTTCTGGCTGCTTTACATGACAAGAGGGGTACTAAGCAGATAGTGAACCAGAAAATCTGGTCCATAATATTTTTTAAAAGGGTACAATGACAGTGAGGGAATCCCTCATCTGCACCCTCCCACCACCACTAATTTTATCACTTGTAGGGAAAGAGCTAGAAATTGTTTCTGAGATCAAACAGAAAGGGCATTTGGAGACCCATTTGTTATATGCAAATACAGCAAATGGC